AATTATTATTAAATTTTTATTTGAAATTCATATTTGAAATATCAAAATGTTACATTAAGTTTACTAAAAAAAGAAGTAAAAGATTTTATAATTGATATGTGTTTTTGAATCTTGTTCTTTAACTTAGGACTAGAACTTTAAAGAGAGAAGGTAAGCCCTACAAAGCCCTCCCACCAAAAACTCCATATACCATTTCTCCACCGCAGAAGAAGTCCTAGGTCTCATTATGCGCTTCTACACTCTCAAGGCATCTCTTGGTTTACCCTTCTTGAGATATGAAGTAATGAGCATGGTGGTGATGCGTGTAAGACATGGGTGTGTTTGTGGGTTGCGCTTGAGGGGGGTTCAACATTGACATGGGTAGCTTTAAATCGATCACCTGAACATTGAGGGAAAGGTTGAGAATGGAGAAAAAGGGGGACTCGGGACAGGTGTTTGCCATGAGTGCTGTAGTGGTGAGTTCGATTGCAGTGTTTAGGTGGTTTGAAAGGCAAAGACGTGGGATTGGGAGGTTGCTTTTTAGTTAATTTCTTCTGGGGTTAATTCTAATTCTGTGGATTTGGAGTTTAGAGAAGAGTCACTTAGCTAGGGTTTTCTTTACTAGAGAAGGTACAGTTAAAAAGGAAGCTGCCTTTGGTGGATGATGCTTAGGGACTTTGAGAGGGAGAAGAAAAGTTGAAACTCATACCATTTGAGTGAGTTCATGTGGCTCTGGTCAGACGACGCCATTGCTGCGCGGATTTTCGTAAAGCCTCTGGGGTAGATTGTATTGAATATAAAGATAAACTCAAAAAAGGAACAACTCGCTTTCGTAGCTCAGTTGGTTAGAGCACCCGTTTAGTAAGCGGGAGGTCTTGAGTTCGACTCTCAACGAAAGCAACTCATAAATGGAAACATCATCAAATGATGAAAAGCTCTTTTTCGTTTTATGGGGGCTTAATTTAATTTTTAATCTATTAACTATCACTTTGATTTCATTTTAGTCTAGAAACTATATTTTATTTCTAAGTGGTCAATTAACTTTCAGATTCATTTCAATTTCGTCTACTTGTTCAAAGATAACGGAAAACTTCTTATTCGGTTAGAGAACAGTTAGTCTTTTGACTATATTTTTTTATCTTTTAATCCTTAAATTTATATTTGTTATAAAAATAACTTTTTACTTAAAATTATTATTTATAGGCTCTTATATCAGATTTTTATATTGATTTTCCTATTTTTTTAATTTGGTATCAGAGCTTGAAAGTTAATAGATTACTTAAAAATAATAATTTTAAGTATAAAAATCTGGTATCAAAGTTTAAAAATAATAATTTTAAGTATTAAAACTATTTTTATAACAAATATAAATTTAAGGACTAAAAGATAAAAAAAATATAGTTAGAGGACT